CCATACCGATTGTGTAGCTGATCTCCGATGGAGAAGTCAACTAGGCACAACTGATCCATACGCATCTCCAATCCTAACTTTTTTACCATGAGCATGGACACTATTCTCGCAGCTCCACTGTCGATGATTAAGCTGCAAACCTTTAAAAATGTTATGCCTTAGCCAAGAATGGTCCCGCTCGGGCTCGGACTGTCACCGCACTAGTGCTTCTCCTTCGTCTCCATGGAGCTAAAGCTCTTATTCTGGACTCTCCTTAGATTCCTCATCAACTTCCTCGACAACATCTTGATCCGTGAGTGTGACGACTCAGCTTGTTGGGTAGCAGGAGGTTATGTGACCATAGTTGTGGCATCACAAACACTTCCTAGCTGACATTGTATTGGAGGAACTACCTTTCTCTGGCTTCTTCCTGCTCTGATCTACTGCCCTATCAATCCCTTGTCCAATTTTGTTACTTCCTCCGGAGGTACTTTTGTCGGTTGTAGTAGTTGCAGGTGACTACTTAGTTGAGTGTGGTGGTCTCTCCACCTTCAGGGCTAATGTCTAGACATCACCCAACATCCAGTATGGCTATAGCTGCACACATTGTTAATTGCAGGTTTTAGGCCTCCGAGATATCTGGCAATCGTGTGCTCCTCTGGCTCTATCAGCTCGCACTTTAGTTGCAGGTGGTCGAACTGGGTCGTTAACTCCTTAAAGGATATATCTAGTTGCAGCAAGTTGTCGAGTTTTAGGACCATGTCCTGGCGATACCTCGGTGGATGGTATTTTTTTTCATTGTTTTCTTCATTTTCTCCCACAGTTATCTTTTCACTTCCTTCCCTCTTCATCTATCTTTGAAGATTCTCCCACCAAAAGGAGGCATTCTTCTTTAGCTTAACTGGAGCTAGCTTAACTCGCTTGTCCTCTGGTGCGTCTTTATACTTGAAGATTCATTCGATTGTTTGCAGCCACTCGATAAACTCATCGAAGTTCATGCTTTCCTCGAACTCTTGGAGGTCCATCTTGATGTCAAAGTCCCTCTAACTTCCATAAGAAGCCTCTACTCTCGGCCTCCTTTGATACTAAATACCAAAACGGTATGGTTGATATTCTTCGTCGTTGTGATTTTCCTTGTGAAACGGATTAAGATCCTCGTCTCTGTCTTCCCTATGATTCTTATCACGATCGAAGATAATCTCTTCCTGGTTCCCGTTATCTAACTCGGCTAATGTCTGTTGCGAACGACGAATTTCACGTTGGATCTCTTCCCGAGTAGAGCCTGATGTATCTTTCCGTTGTGGCATGGCTAGAGTTGGGAATTGGAAGAAAAAAAGTGATGGAGGTGAACTGGGCAGGGGCGGGTGTTGGGGAACCCTATGATATGAATAAGGTCGAACATGTCTCGGATACCAAATGACACTGTAACTAGTTGGAATAAGGAGTAATACAAAAAAGTAAACTATTATTAATATAAAAATAGTGATACAGCACGACTCAAAAAAAGAGAAATACAATAATAGATGAATCACTAGCTAGAACTATAGGAAGAGATTCAAAGGCGGTAGCGGCGTCAGCGGGGTGAGCGGTCCTTGGATAGGTAGGGGGATTGTGTATGGTTGGTTGTAGGTAGATTGGATGGCGAAATCGTGGAGGAAGTAATGGTAGCGGTAGAGTGGTGGAGGAATTTGGGGGTGGTAGACAGCTAGGGGAGTGGTGGGGAAAAGGGTTCGGTGAGTAGTAGTGAAAAGGTTTCGGTGAGTAGTAGCGAAGGTGTTTGAAGTTTACAACACTACCTCGGAGCAAGATACAGCTGAAGCACCATCTATCGTCGGTTACAGCCCTAATAAGAGGGATGAGACTCCACACAAAAGATTAGAAGACAACTCTGATAGAACTACCTCCCACCAGGCAAGGGGTGGAAAAGACAAGAAAAATCCATAACACTCTTCCTAGAAAGGATCCGGTGTGAATAGCTCAACTAGATACGAGAATTTGCGATCCTTACCCCTATCGTTTCTCCCGCCTTCGTGAGATCGCGGGTCCTTGCCCGCTTGGCGTAGTTTTCCAAGGCTTCGGACTCCGCAGTAGTGCGGGTACCTCTCTTTCTTCCTCGCTTCCACCCCCCAAAACTTTGTTGCCACATCTCCCTCACTGCAGCTGCTTAGATTAGCAGTTCTGGTTGTTTTACTGCAGTTCCAGCTGCCGTCATAGCCTCCCCCCCTTCCAGTTCCAGCTGTCGTCATAGCCTTCCCCCCTTCCTCGTCTCTGTAACAATGTGAAATCCGTGCGCAGTGGAAGCGCATGTCCCCCCTTCCTCGTCTCTGTAACAATGTGAAATCCATGCGCAATTTCATAAATACAACATTCCATGGAAGTGATGAGAATGCTGTAAGCAATGATTGAATGTTCACAAAGATACCGAACACAAGGGAGTAATACAATGAAGAAGGCTAACAGACGAGTTGATGTAACAAAATGCAATACGGACATGAAGGGGCGCAAGTGGTTGTGCTCTCGTTGAAAAGATTTGTGGTGAAGGTTTGGGCAAGTACAACTTGGTGTAGAATGACTTGCATGGTGCAAGTATCAAGTAAACAAGAGTGTAGCGCAAACAACAGCACAATTGAGGAGCATGAATGTGTGTGACAAGCAGAGAACGATTATGTAGTGGAATCTACGAGATAACGGAGAAGTCATGGGTGAAGTTAGAAGGAATATGAGAAAAGTTCAGCGCGAGAGATGGGCAAAGTGAATTGTGTAAGAGTTAGAGCAAAAGCGTGGGTAAGTGCATCCATAAGGGGCTTGAAATATGGCTGCAAGTGAGGTTGAAGTTGGGCAAGAAATATGAGCGATGGTTTAAAGAATACAGAGTGAGCATGTAAGTGTTGGGTGAGCAAGTTATGAGCAGGGGCATGGACAAAATTAAGTGGAGAATCATGTAAGGCTGAGTTATCAAGCGAGGCTGAGGATTGCATGAAAGTCAGTTGCCTGAGTTGTGGGAGTGAAGGAGAAAATACGAGATTTACGATAGCAACAACGAAACAGGATCATGTGAGATGATCGGGCATTGGATTGAGTTGTGTAAAGATTAGGGTGTAGGATCAAACTTAATGCTTTAATACCACTTGATATAGTATCAAATAAAGAGATGAGATATATAGAAGAAGAGAGAGAACAAGAAATATAGAGATAAGAGTTTTAATAGCTCAATATTAATTCAATAATCAAGTGCAGCTGATAGAAGATTAGACAGCTCATGTAAAATAAGAATTACGACACACTCCTAAAATGCATTAAAATTTTAAGTAAATTAGCACAATGATGTGTCCAAATACTATATAATTGATACGCCATCATCTGGCACGAATCTCGAGGTAATTTTTTGAACAAGAAATATTCAAACTTCGATTAAGAGTCATCCAGAGCTTTGATTTCAGCAAACTTATAGTCAAACTGATCGGCTCGATGAGACGGACCTAATGATATGAAGAAAGTTGATATGAAAGTCAGTCCAATCCAAGTCAAATCAAGCCCGGATCAAATCATTAAACCACTCTTAAAGAAGTTCTGGAGGCATTTGAAAAGTTAAAAGAAAATGTCGAATCTAGCGAGTTCATAGTCGAATCGAGCGTCTCGACAAAACAAATCCAACGAGTCCAAGATTGCTCAATTCCGACATCGTTAAGGCACTCAAATGTCCATCAAACATCATCTGATCAAGAAAAGCTCTCCGGACCGTCCGATCAAAATAGTTCATATTTCTGCATTAATTGTACTCAAAACACTATAAATAAATCAACATACCCCCTCCCGTCGTCGACTACCGCCGACCACCGTCGATTACCGCCGATCACTATTGACCTTCGTCGACCACCGCCAACCATCATCGACTATCGTCGACCACCGCTGACCTCCGTCGATAGTCGGCAATCACCGTCGACCACCGCTGACGATCATCGACCACCGTCGATCATCACTGACCGTCAACCACCGTCGATCATCGCCAA